CAATGGAAATCAAATTTATTAACCAATGGAGGCCTGGATTTGGAGCCACACACAAAATTAAAGTGAAATGTTCAAGTTGTATGTATGTTGTATGTGTGTATGCAAGTTGTATGCACAACTTGCATACAACTTGTGTGTTTTACTTGCACAACTTTACATAGTAAGCTGTTGATAATGGTTATTATGAGTTCATTACAGATTCCAATGTAATCCAAATGGCTTTACTTGAGGTTGATAACAATAGCTGATGTGTGATTTAGAGCCTACTCTTGGTAAATGTTTCGATACATGAATTGAACAGCGTAAAATCCCGCATTCTGCCATGGCCACATGCTGAAGCCCACAAGCTGTTCAGAATAGAATTCAACATCCTTCTTGCCAAACTGTGTATTCTGAGGGAACACTAAAAGTAATGGTCTGTACTGTGAACCATAGATGCTTTGATTATGTGACATTTTGGAAGATAAATATCCTGGTAGAAAGCCAAGGATTTGCAAATTAAATTATACCAGTACAAAAGTCTGTTTGTAGAATGATAATGGCTGGTTGAATCTGAGAGCACAGAGTGCAGCAGTGAGAGAGAGGTTCAGGTCCTGGAATGATTCTTCAGTCTACCTGATGAGCAGCAAACACTATCGTCACTATTATTTTTTGTGCACTTTGAGTGTCTAGGAGCATAAAAAAATATATTTATTCTTTCCTGGTAATGCATAGATATGTCTCTATTCTTTCTATTCTTTTTGTCTGTTCATTTTTCTCTATTGTCTGTAACGATTGCTTTGCTATGAAGAAAACGTAGCAACGTATTTGCTGTAGAACTGCTAAACAAGATCATGACTTCTGGCTAATCAGCTTTGTGAATCCGCCAGTGGTTTTCCTCAAAGCAGTTTTGCAGTTCAAATTCAATTATGCCAAAGTTACAAGCAGACAAGTCAAAATGTTTGGTTCTACCATGTATTAATGCACAGGACTCCTTACATTGCCCTACAGCATTAGAGCCTCTTCGAAGAGTCTGATTAAATTAGATTTTTCTTGGGAATGTATCCACAGTATTGAGGAAAGTCCATTTGTGCAACACACTTAAGGACAAGTGTTTCAGCAACCTCTGCCAGTATCAAGAGGGATTTTCTGTAAGACGTCATCTGATTGAGGGTCAGTTCCTTCTCTCTATGGAAACGAGGTACATAGCAAAGCAACCTGCAGGGGGCGTGGCGTAAAATGTCTCATTCACACTTAAAAAGACTGCAGGTACTCAAGTGAACAAGTGAAGTTGGCCTCTCCACTTTGTTCAGATCTAACAAAATTGGTGTCAAACATTTGTGCTGTTTGTGCAGCAAATTTTTTTATTTGTGCCACTATCATTTTAAAGATTATAAATGCTTCCAGAGGTCATGGAAGGTCAACCAGCCTCCCCAACTTCCCCCCACATCTACAAAATCAAACAAATATGGTGTCAATAAACTCTGCTTCATTTTTACTGGTTTGAGCTGATATTTCCGTTTGTGCTGCTTTCGCTTTTAATATATAACTGACTGACATTATTTTTATTTATTTTGTTGAACTTTCTTAAAGAAATTCTGATTCTGTTTGTATGTTACAATCTTGTTCTTTGAGTACAGTATAACCATCCATCCGTCCGTCCGTCCCTCCGTCCAGCTGTCTGTCCGTCCATCTATCCGTCCCTCCCTCCGTCCATCTGTCTGTCCGTCTGTCCGACCCAGCCACCTGGGTCCTCCAGGGGAATGTTCCCCTGGAGATACTTAAACTCCTCCACTTGGGGCAGGACTCCTCTTTATTTCTATCATGCAACAAGCACAAGCAGTGTTTAAAATCCTGTCTAGTTCACGTCTTCCAGAACAAATAATCCCCTGCTTTTGTAAACCTCACTGTGATAAGAACATCAGGTTGTCATATCAAGCCCGATCAGAAGTTTCTCTCCATGCTCCTTTATGTCCATATCAGTTTCCATTTTCCCCAGTTTCCTCCTGTGTCTCTACTCTCTTTTCAGTGTTTTTAGAGAGGCTTTGCAGCCAAATCACTGTGACAGGCTGGGGAACATCAGATTGAGCTCAGCGGTTCCTCTTCATTGTTCTAAAACGTTAGTAAGTAGGTCAAATTGAGAGTCTGGTGAAATCTTAATTAGAGAGAGCCCAGGCACTCTCATGTTTAAGCAGTAAGCATCATTTCAGTGGCGCCTAAAAGGTTTAAAAATACACACACAAAAAGGGAAATTTACATCCAATTGGAATCATTGATGATTTAATCCAATATTTGCTGGCTCTGTAAAAAGCAAGATAACTTTGTGGATTCATCTGTAGAAAGACATTTACTTGACCCTAAGAAATGCAACACAAACAGGCTCAGAAAACATTAATAACTATCTTGAAAATGTAATTAGAACTGTGTAAATTGAGCTTTACAGAAGGCATAGCAGTAAAGAATAAGAAAGGTGATTGATTCAAAATTTCAAAGATAGCACAATGATATAAGATTTATATTTATAGCATTCTCTTTAGGATCCTATAAATAGACATGAAACTTAAAAAAGTCAATAACTACAACAAAATTAAGTTAGGTCATCTCCAACCTGATGACATTTTGTATAAGGTTAATTGTGCACAGCAGGAAGAGGGAGAGCAAAAAATACACTAGTGAGAAGCTCAATTTTGCTAAGTGCTTGTCTGTTGCTATGGTACTCAGCAAAAAATATATTCAACCAGACCAAGTATGTCAAGGACAGGAGTAAAACTAACTGAGGCAACAGAGAGAGGCATCAGCATTACAGCCCCGTCCCAAGAAAGCAAATGGTCATTTCTGGCTTCGGTGTAGCACAAAAATTAGTGACCACTACTAAACAAGAGAAAAAGGTTTAAGAACCCCTATTGGCTTCCATTGAGAACACAACACTCTCTTAGTTATTCACTTAGAAAAAAAAACATTATATACCACCATACAGACAAGACAAGATCACTGCAGATCAAGGCTCAGGGAAAAGGGGGCCTGAGATTTCTAGGATGGAGCTCTTGGTTGACGAGTTGCAAATGAGATACTTGTTGCAGCAGGTAAATCTGAAACAGGAGGAGAGAACTCTCCAATGAAGAACCCCGCTAGAGGTCAGAGACACTCAGATTAGGAGGCTCTAATCCTCATCTTTCATTTCTGCTTCACTCTTGGCTGCAAGCCACTTCAGCAAAGCTGTAGATCATAACCTGATGAAGCTAATAGGATCACAAAGCAGAGATGCTGTTCTGAGGCCACCAAAACGGATCACCTCGTCACCTTGACTACGCCTGAAAGTTGTGTTCATAAACATTATGAACAGAATCTGTGACAAAGGGCAACAGCGGTGGAGTCCAGCTCTGACTGGAATTGAGTCTGACTTACTGCTGGCAATGTGGAACAACCTCTGACACCAGTCACAGAGGGACAAATCAAGATCTTCTCCCAAACTCAAACTGAGCTTTTTCAGACTATTTGTTGCAAGCAGATGGTTTCAGGCAAAAGGAAAAAGCTCAACATTCCACGCCCTTTTTAAATGATCATGAATGTTGCTGACAATCCCAACAAGGAAAGGCTTTAAAGTCAACCAGTGGTTATTGAAGTTTTAGATACATTTCAATAATTAAAACACTCAAATCAGTGACAGTGTAAAAGGTCGGAACACATATGAAATATGTATCAGACTGAACTAAAGTAACCTTTGCATGCTCACAAATAAGAGCCAAGGCTTTTCTTCTGTTTTGTTTATCCATTGCACTCTTGAAAGCACAGCTGACATGCACAGTGACTTCATTTACACTGAGCTTGTGTGTGCATGTGTGTGTGTGTGTGTGCATGTGTGTGTGTGTGTGTGTGTGCGTGTGTGTGTGTGTTTGTGCAGGGATTGTACCCTGGCTCAGAGGAAGGCTGGCAAGTGTACAGCACGGCCTCAGATCCGGACGGCCGGTGTGTGTGCACGGTAGTCGCCCCAGCTCGAAACCTGTGCAAACGAGACCCTCGGAACCAACAGCTACGCCTGCTGACTGAACAGGTGAGCACTTTGGGTATATGTTTGTGTTTGTCTAATTCTGGAGTTCATCCAAGCTTCAGCTGGCGGTCAGCGTTGCAAAGCGGTGCAGGTGCGGAGGAGGAGGGGGCTTGCATTTAAATGAAAGATTCACCATCAGCTTCTTTGCTTTGACACATATGGAAAAATGAACAGAAGTATGCTGACACACTGACAGGCATCGCTGACAGATCAATATTGTTTGAGTCCTTTAGATGCTGTCAGTTACTCAGCAACCCAGCAGATCTTCAAATTCAACCCTAGTAAATATGTGGAAAATAAAGCATTTGTTCACCTCAGCAGTGTGAAGCTCAGGGCATGTCCATCTATCTACAGCTGGAGTTCAATTTGTTTGTGTCAGAAAACAGAACATTTTTTGAATTCAGAAGTTCACATGCATTTCCTTATTATCAGAGATAATTGAGCTTTAAACTGTATGACTGTTTAAAACTCAATTTAAACAATGTTTAAGCAACCATAACATTGTTGGTTTCCTTCCACAGTGTTTTGAATTCTGGCCCTTTCTGCCTAACAGAACTGGTGCAGCTGAGCCAGGTCTGTCGGCTGATTCGCTCCAACACGCCTTTTCAGATCTACTCACCAATTCTCAGGAAGATTGAGATCAGGACTTTGTAATGGCCACACCAAAACACTGACTTTGTTGTCTTTAAACCACTTTGAAATTCCCAGTGTAAGCTTAGAGTAATTGTCTATTTGGAAGACCATTTAAAAGTTTAACGTCCTGCCTGATGTCTTTAGATGTTGCTTTGATATTTCTACGTAATGATCTTTCCTCATTGTGCCATCTATTTCATTAAGTGCTTCAGTTCCTCTTGCAGAAAAACAGCACAGCATGACACTGACAACCCCATACGTAACAATCTATAATTAAAAGATTTTAAAAATCATGTATTGGTCAAACAGGTAATTAAAGTGCAGTGATATTTGTTGAATCATGACAAAATGTGAACAATTATGAGTATGAGCTGTTTTTTCAGGCACTAAACATCGGTTGGTCATCTCTCTGAAGACTATCATTCCCCAAACCCTGCAGCAAATTTTAATATTAAAATAAAACCCTGATCAATGGATGTGAAATAAACAATTTGTTAAGTACTTTAGGACAAAAAAATGAGCATTCCAACACTGTTTTCTATGTAAATGTGCATGCACCTATACATATACAGACTGTGAATCTGGCCATGTAAGTATATTTCCATCAATATGCACCCCAAGAGAGAAATAAAAATGATTTGTGACTGGGAACAATGAATTATTAAACATCGTCGGCCCGGCAAACGTTGCTCCCTGCATTCACCGCTGTGAGGATCTTACATCAGGATTTAGGAGTGCTGCATTTTCCCTACAGCAAAAGTGAACCAAAGCAATGGTAATGGCAAAACAACTACAGCGCTTTTCCTCATTTGCTGCTGGTGTTGGAGAGCATACAGTCTTCACACAGAACGGGAGGGAAATGAGAGGTGGCAGAGGATGAGCACAATCAGAGCCAGCTTCCCCACTCCTCTCCCAACACCGTTCCTGTCAGGAAGCTTGTGTGTTTATGAATCTTAATTAGCTCAGTGTGTCTCTGGAAGTGACACCTACATCCTGCTGTGAGTGGGAATAGTTGTGTGTGTGTTTGTATGCCGTGGTGTGTCTGCTCCTCTCCAGCCTCTGCGGCTCTCACAGATACAGTGAGGAGATGAGTGAGTGGGTGGGTTTGTTTGTTTGTTGATCACTTCTGCATTCACAACTCACAATCTGGGTCATTGCATGTTTTTTTGTTGTTTTTTTCCCTTTTCCTTAACATTCAGTATCAAAAGAGGTTTGATGCATCTGTTAGAATCTCAGGATTGTTAATGAGCAGCAGTGTGGGAGTGCTTGTTTCTGTGAGAGAGGAGCACACACTTAATGAGGATCTCTGTTAAAATGAATTTAAGGACACACTCCTTCAGAAACTTACCTTATCACCCACTTACAGAAACGCACAATATAAATATCAAATTCTGAACTGTAAACTGCTTTGAGTGTAAAAACAGTGTGAGATCTTAAAATCTTCTGTGGGTTTTTCTGTGCCTTCCGTTTTAATGGAAAATGCAAAAAAAAAAATTAAAAATACATCTCAGCACACAGTTTCACAAATTGAAATACTGAAAAAACTATAGCCTAAAGGGAATGTAAGCATTGACATATTTCCTTTTAAATTGAATCAAAAGGGCTGTTATAAATGACACAAACTGAGCTCATGGTGGTTCAACAAAGTGTTGGCTCTGGGGGCTAAAAAAATGTATACAAGCTTGTCAGATTTTATATATTTATAGTATACATTTAGTTACACAATTATAAAAATCAAGTCTTGGTCAAACAGGAAAATTAAGTTGTGATTGGTCATTAATTTTGAGGAGCAAATCTTCCTCTGCAAGGTTATGCCACTCTCACCTGCAACCCTTTCTCAGCCATCTGTTTCTTGTTCAGTAATCAAGCTCCCCAGTCCATGTACAGCTCATTCTCAGTTCCTCCTTGCTGCTTTCTTCAGGCTAATCCCATTTTCTCCCCTTTACATCCCCATAGCTTTTATGATATTGGTTATTTCCTGGATTCCTGTGGTTTTTGTTCTACTCTGGCTCACTGCATCAAAGGTGCCAACTAATCAGCTTAAACTAACCATAAAAAAATTCTAGCATCATCTTGCAGGAACTAAAAAATGATTTTATTATATTAACATGTCATTTGCTCCTGCTTTCTCTATCAGGTGCAGAATGTGAGTCAGTCCATGGAGGTGGTGGACCTGCGAACATCAAGAGACCTTCAGTATGTTCGAGACTCTGAGCCGCTGCTGAGGGGAGTTGATGGTCACTTACACACGTATGTGGCCAGTCCCCGCACTCTAACTTCTAAGACCCTCCAGGTAGACACACAAACATGCAAGTAGCAAGTAGTAGACAAGCACTGCACATAAAGAGTCAGGTTCTTAGGTACATGCAAAGTAAAGCAGTCGCTACAGGGAATGCATAACTTTTGGTGTGAAAATGTTGATTTTACACGTGCCAAGCCCAAGCGTCCTGCCTGCTCTCTCTTTTATCAGGGAGACAAAATTTGTCATGGAAAAAAAAAAAAAAAACCTCTATGGAAGGAATCTTAAATGTAAATGCTGTTTATATTTACATGATGATCAACACAATTTAGCAAGATTACCCTTGATATTTGCCCTACTTTTATTGACAGAAATATAAATATGTTCAACTTCTTAATTTGGACTCATTGATCTTTTCAGTTATGTTATTTTCTGCAATGATATCACTGGGAAACGCCTGTGCCATCAAAAACATTCCACGTTTTATCGATATTTCTACAGAGTAAACATGACAGGTCAAGATTAAATACAACATTTTTCAGTATCTGGGAACCATGTTGATAAAATGTTGGGTCCCTGAATGTATCGCCTTTAGTTTGACCTATAGTTCAGTTCCTGTTTGAGTTGTGATACTTTTGTTTTATTTGACAATTGTTTTTAACTGTCAGTGCAACGGCAGCTTAATGGTAATCAAGACAATTTATGAAATGTATTTTAACAGACATGTATTTTAACAAGCTATGTTTTTAAAATGTAAATAAATACTTTTTAAATATTGTGACTTAAACTGGGCATTTGTTTAATTATATGCTAAACTAAAGTTAATTTACATTGTAAAAATGATTTTAAGTTAAAATTAATCAGTAAAGTATGCCACTACTTATATGGCTTCACTTGATTACAGTATCTTTGTTCCTTTATCAGTCATTTCTCTAATCCACTCATCACTGCAGTGGTCTATTAAAGGCCTTTCTGTCAAACTAGAATATGCTCAGAAACCTAATTGAACAGTAACAGGGTTCATATGAGTCATTTTAAAATTAATAATGGCATTTTCTGACATTGTAATGTTAAAATAATAAAAGTACCTTCCTGAATACCATAATAAGTCAGCAGCATTTTAATGCAGGGTGGTGTGTAAAAAAACAAAACAAAAAGAAACACAAAAGAAAACAAAACAGACACATAATAAAACAGAATCTCAGACAGAACCCTTTGGTGTCTGATTGCCGTGAATGCTGACTGAACAAAAAAGACAGCATTAACTGATCCTGGCTGACTAACAGCGCAGGATAAATCGCCATGGTAACATATGTGTTGCTGCTTTTGTATGACAGAGTCAAGGCTTAATTAAGTCAGGATATCTGACAAATCCCACCTTTATCCACTGTCCTAACTTTGTGAAGCAGCTGTCTGACATTCTGATCTGATTTTAAAACTACAGATGTTGACCTGAGCTAAAGCTGTTTCAGGTTAATTCAGATGAATTTCAAGATTTAGACATGATATTCAAGAAAAGGAAATCTTAAAAATGTAACAGTCATTTGTCAAAAATAAACCAAATAACATCATTTTAAATAAAATATCTGTTGGCTGCAAACCATATTTGATGAGTTCTATCAGATTATACTCATATTTATTTATACTGATAATGAGAACACAACTAGTAAGGCATTGTAAAACAGCTATACAGACTTCATCCTGGTGATGTCAGCTCTTTTCATCACAAACCATAAATATTTTATGTATCTAAAAACCTAACAAACAATCTAAAAAATGCATGCGGAAATAAACCTAGTTTTTCCAGCTCAATTACTTGTCTTTGTGCTGAGCACCAGATCTCTAAGAATAAGTATACCAATGGATCATGTTTTACAGTTAAGCCCAAGACTATTCAAACTTCCTAGCAGATTTAGATTTTAAATCATTTTCATTCAACCAAGACATTTATTTCTGATTGGAATCAAGAGAAGGATGTCTCAAGATAAACTAAAACAATACAAAGTCATGTTTTACATGTTTTATGATGAGCTTCTAGTCTTTGAGGTTGGAAGGCTTCTTTGCCATCAGCTTGATTCTTTTTTAGCTCCCTCCCCATACTGAAGTCCGGTCTCTGAATGTGTCTCTCACAAACATTGTTAGGACTTCATAAGAAGAATGCTGGTAAAGTTAAAAGTTCACATTAGACCTGAATCTGCCAGAGGAACAAAAAATTCAGGCCTCACTCCACACATTGTGGGTGATTCAGTGGGAAGATTAGTCATCTTTCTATTTGTGTGTTGTGGGTTTGATTCCACCTTCCCCCTTACAGAGACTGATATGCAAAGCATAGAACCACAAGTTGCTTACTGATCTGCATATCAGTGTACGACTATGAATGTGATTTTATAATTTCTAGATAAATACTTTCTTTATTTTTATCCCCTGCTGAATATTTACTTTGCATGTTTTGCTTTAGAAAACAAAGCTCCAGCAACACATTTCTTTCAACCTGCTGTATCATCCACAATTTGATCTTTAGCAAAAGCAGGACACCACTATTTTTTGGTTTGGTCAGCACATAACGATTACTTAATCTCATGCTACACACTGAAGACACTCTGTCTGCTCTGATGAAGATTCACTCACCTTACGCCAATTGCCTGAAGTTGCTGGCATAGGAGAGGAAATGACTGTATCTTTTCATTCACTATTGGATCCCGAGGGAGTATTCACAGAATGCGTAAAGAGTAATAGTACTATAGCATAGTGGTTCTGCAGTAGCAGCCCCCACTAGCTCTAAATCGTGCAACCTATTTCATTTCCTATGCATTATATTACATAATGCATATAATGTTAAAGACGAAACCAAAAATATCATTTGCATTATTACAAAAACATAAAACATTCCAATTAGCTAAACATTTAAAGTTATGAGTCAAATTTACACTAATCACAAATATGTCAGAAATTACAGCAAGTATCTACAATACAATACACAACAGTGGGTAACACTTTATTTGAAGGGGGTTGAATAAGACTGTCATGACACTGTCATAAACATGACATAACACCTGTCATGAACATGAATAAGCCTTCATGAATATTTATGACTGTTGTCATAAAGCGTCATTCGGTAAATTATGACACTTTTAATACAAAGTTGACATTATTGAAAATGTCTTTGTTATGACAATTTGACATTAACCAAGAAATCATTACTGTTTAAACTTTACCTTTAATAACATAAAGTTACCTGATTTTTAAAGTGCAATCAGTAATACTTTTATAACAACTTTATATCAGTAATGATTTCTTGGTTAATGTCAAGTTGTCATAACAAAGACATTTAGAATATTGTCAACTTTGTATTAAAAGTGTCATAATTTACCGAATGACACTTTATGACAACAGTCATAAATATTCATGAAGGCTTATTCATGTTTATGGCAGTGTCATGTCAGTCTTATTCAACCCCCATCAAATAAAGTGTTACCCAACAGGGTTTCAATTATTTCACTCTAAACTATGAAGACTTCATCAGGGGGGAAATATCTTCCTGGATAATGCATTGCTGTAAAGAAAAACTTTGCAAACAATGGTGTCTCTGTAAAAAGTCCAGATATCTCTTTGGGATACTGAGCCATTTTCTTTGTAAATGAAAAGTGTTCATCATTTCATATCGCAGATATTCCTCAAAAAACATGTTACTGATATCATGCAATCAAAAATATTTTATTTGTTATATTTTTTCCAGGAAGGTAGGCCCATTTTAAAATACAATCAAATAACTGTTACCTTAAGTTTTTCTACAATTCCTGTATATATTTGAAACATGACTTGCCAGTAATTCAACTTTGCTATCTAACACCTTGGAATTGGGCCTCTGTCTCTTTAAGAAGCTTTTTCTTTGGGAAACGCCGCCTTCAGTATGTAATCACAACAAGATTCCTCTATTAAGCATTTAACAAAGTTTTATCAACGTTTTATATAAAATTAGTTTGATGAGCTCAGCAGATGTTCATTTTGTTTGCTAATCAATTTTGCTGCTTGTCTGAAGGAGCCGAGTGGGGGAGTCGCAGGGAAGGGGAGCTCTGTAATACGAACGCTTATAGGGGAGATTCAAGGATTTCTCAAACATGCATGAAGAATCCAGACAGTACTCTAGGTGTGTTTTTGGTGAGAGCACAATATTATCACTTGTTGTGAAGCTAAAAAAAAAATCGATTTTACATAATATAGCCTATTTAACGATGGTTTGTCTTTCCATAAGCCTTACTGCAACACTGGAGCATGTTCATCCTCAGAATTGTGATAATTTGCATCACAGGTCTTTAAACTTTATCTCCAAGCAGGAGGCAAGACCTACATAGTGATTATATAAACAAAGTTAAGTCCCCACAGCAGGAGTAACGCACAGACACACAACTCGCCCTTAATTCCCCAAATATAGCTTATTGCTGCCTTCCCCTAAATCCATTTGCCTTTCATCTCTTGCCAAGCATCATCTAAAAACCAGGGGGTCTGTTCTTGGTTACTTTATGCAGTATGTTTGTGGTTGTGTGTTTGTGTGCATATGCATATGTGCTTGATGCTCCTGGGGGTGAGGAGGGTTCACAGTCATAAACTTTTTGCCTTTGCACCATGTGGCAGAATGTCTGAATATTTATGCCCGACTACAGTAGGTTTATCAATAACTGAACAGTATTTATACACCACAGAGGAAGTGATTGAAGAGCTGGAGGTCAGAGCGATAAACAGAAAGAAAATAGAATGCAGAAATGGAATGAAAAATAAGATTAAGGGTTTTTACTATTTGAATTGTTACTTAACGGAACAATCCATCCTTCCATCGAGAACGGATTGGTTTAAGCTGTATTAATGTGCTAGAGTTGCATATTAATAAAGTCTGCCTTTCATCTCTTGCCAAGCATAATCTAAAAGCCAGGGAGTCTGTAACACACCGTTACTTCACACATTACTTTGTTTTGGCATCTCTGAGTGAACTTAGCCCCCCGGTCATTCAATCAGACAAAAATGGTGTCAAACATCTGTGCAGTAAAACATTTTCTTTT